TTTTCCTTTTGATCCTGCAGAGAGATTGGAGGAAGGGGCCAAACGTGGGAGCTCCCTGGGTTGTTGTGCAAATGAGCGAGCCCCACGTGAGCGCTAATCTACAAACCCAGACAGTCCTGGGAAGCTCTGGACATCTCCTAGACAGGAACGTATGCCAGCCTAAGGAGACTCATAGGTTCAATTTGTATTTGAATAGAAGGTGGGAGCCAGAAAAGGACAGAATTCAGCTTCAGGAAATGGACTAGCGCTGGGACTGTGGTTCCTTAAGGATGTGATGTGTCAATGTTGGTTCATCAGTTATAACAAATGCACGTCTGAAAGGAAGCTGCCAGTCAGCTGTAAGACTGAGTGAGAGCTACGGACTCTTTCCAAGAAGGGTAAATCTAAAGCTGCTTTTAATGACGTTTACATATAAATAAAGCTTACCCAGTTAAAAAGTAGACCTCCAGCAACATTGGTTTTAAGACTTTCTAGATTTCAAGCTTTTGGCCAACACTCTCACGCTGCCCCATCTGACTTCCTCCCGAGTCTGAATTTTCTATCGTGTGCAAACTCCGCAGTCATGATGGGGACTTGCTGACACCCACAGTGGGTGTGTGTTGGCCTTTACTCAACAAGTTGGGGAAGAGCTGTGCTGGGGAGCTTGGCTTTGGGGGTTCCAGCTGGGGCATTGATCAGTGCTCCAGGCTGCAAGAAGGACTGATTTTCTGATAAATGAAATAAAAGCAAAAAGGAAGAAGCGTGTTCTCGGCCCGCAGACTCTAAGGGTCTCCGGAGCCCCACGCGGGGTCAGCAGGTGAGACCCTGGGGCAGGTGAGACCCTGGTGGGTAAGCACGCTGACGTCCACGCGGCATCTCGGCCGCTGGCGGAGTTGAAGCCCGTCCTCCCCTTTAACATGGGGGCAGCAACGAGAGAGCTGGCCCCTGTTCTGTGTCCAGACTGGGGCGGTTCAAGTCAGACCCTGGGCGGTCAGCTCCTAAAGCTGAGCAGCCTGGTGAAATTGCTTTAAGCAGCAGGAGTGTGCTCCGGCCAGAGTGTGCGTGGGCGCGCATCTGTGCGTGCAGCTGGGAAGTCTGTTTTGTTGTGAGGCACGCAGGCGTGTGTGTGTGTGTTTTACTCATGTTACTGGATACTTCTTCTGTTTAACTACATTGTCCCGTCAGAGCATGCGAGGTATTTGTGGGTGCTAGTCTCATACTATTTTGTTGTCCAGAGCTAAGGCACGCAAATATTGAAACAAAACCAAAAACACAGGTAAACAGGGCTTGCTGTCCCCATTTTCCTGCTAACACGTCTCTCCGGGGACGGTTTGCGTCCCGTTCTCTGTTGTGACACAGCTTGTCATCTTGAAGGGTTCGCCTCCCCATTGCAGGGTGCAGAAAGAGGCTTTTAAACTACATAGCTTACAGAGATTCTGAAAATGTGGGTTTGGGGTTTGTTTTTAAAGATTTATTTATATGCATGCAAGCATTGGGGTAAGAAGATTCATCAGAGACAGAGCGGGGAGCAGAACAGGCAGATCCACTGACATCCACTGCTGAGGGGAGCAGCAGGGAGACAGGAGAGGTCTGCTGTGCCCTGTGGGTCACTCCTTGACCGGAGATCGAACTCATGCCACGGAGGCTGCCGACAGCGTCATGGTGCTGAGACTTAACCCCTGCGCCAGCAGGGAGGCCCAAACCAAGAAAACATTAAGAAAAAAGTGGAAAGCTCTCCCGGCCCAGCTGGGGATCACAGGCGGTGGGGTTGGTTGGATGTCCTTCTCTCTGTGCCCCGCCCGGGGTGGGGTGGACCCCGCAGCACAGAGCCTCGTGCTGACAGATGCATCGGGGTGTACGGCCGGCAGCTCTCTCCCCGTCTGCTTTACTGAAATAGGCCGTGTCACCCCAGGACTTGCTGCAGGTGCTGTGGCCGTGACGCCCTCCTGGGTGTCGCCACCTCGCTGACAGTCTAGGGGTGGGGGAGAGCGGCAGCCTCATGTCCTGACCAGCACCCTCAGCCCCCTGTGTCACTTTCCAGTTCTTCCAAAGAGCTAAGTTCTCAACGACGGACATTTTAGCGAGTCTGTGATACATTGAGCAAGCATCTAAGCAGATTGAAAATCCTTAAAATCCTTCTCCCGTGCGTAACACTCTCACGTAAGATATATTTGGTGCAAGGTGTGTGTGGCCACTGATGTCAAAGAGGTTCAGGGGCCCACCCTGGGAGGGGAGAGCCCGGCTGCCCTGCTGTGAGCGTGTGCCCGGCACTGCCCGCCTCTCTGGCCGCCGCCAGCCGGCGGGAAGTGGCCAGTGGGCCTCACTCAGTGCCGGACACATGACAGCAGTTCAATACGTGGCTCTTGTCTTAGTGCTTGCGGACTAAGGATGAGGGCGCCGTGCCTGCTGCCCCCAAGAGCGCTCTCTAGACTTTGGAAATACACGTATGGCATCGTTTTGCTTCTGTTGCATACTTAGCTGGTGAGTGGGCACGTGCATGTCCTGGTAAATATCTTTTTCTGTCACTGACAGTATCTTACCTGACCGGAGAGACACATTTCTGTTGCTGGTACATCTTTGTGGCCAACTAAAGCAACTTCCTTTTCCTTCGATTTGCAAGTGTGTGGGGGCCTTCACGGGTGTCTTGTATGTTGTTTTGTCCCAGAAGGGAAAAAAAAAATACAAAGGCAGCAGCCAGTGGGAGCCGCTTTTATGCATCGGACTTCAAAATGCAGCTTTGTGTTTCTGGCCGGCTCTTTGTGAGTGGACAGCAGACATCCCTCTCTTGGAAGTGTTTCTGCGCCTCCTGGGAGACTCCATCGGGGAAAAGGAGCTAATTAAAAAATCTGCCATCCGCCTCCTCTAATTAACTTGCTCCCCACTCCGGGGAGAGGGTGTGGGACGAGGAAGCGCTGCCTGCGGTGCCGGAAGTGAATGGCGTTCTTGGGGTCGGGATGCTTCGAGCAGGGATGGTCCCCAGTAAACAGGCAGAGACCCACAGGGGTGCCTGGGGTGCTGGCTCCCTCCCGGGTGCCGGCTCCCCCACCGGTGGGGTGTGAATGGCGTCCCCTTCCACAGGGCAGGTGTCCCTGGCAGCTGCAGCAGGGGACCCCTCATTGGAATTCAGCAGCTTGAACCCAGGGACATCCGGCCTGCCCTGCCGCTTGCTTGTGCTGCTGGGAAAGAGCGGGGCCCTTTGTGCACCAGCCGCCGTCTGGGGCCTGGGTGCAGAAACGTCCGCGCTAGCACCAGCTTGCAGCCTCTCCTGATCTCTCTGCCGCAGGCTGGCGAAGCTCGCGCCCTCCCTGGCTGGGGATGCTGCTGACTTTTGGGGGACCTCAGAAGGAGATTGAGACCCCTTACCACGAACAGGAGTGAGGGGTGGGGGTTGTGGGGGAAGGGGAGCAGAAGCTGCTCCTCCTCGGAGATGGCTTTTGCCTCCGGGAGAATGTGGGCTGCCGTGGAATGGGCCCGGTGGATGTGGGCCGCAGTGACCAGTGCCGGGGACACCAGTCTGCGGGTCCAGGCGTGCAGCGGAGAGAGGCAAGTGGGGTCCGCGTCGCTCCCCGGTCTGGCTGGTGCAGACTGTTGTTCCAGAGTTACTGCTTGTGTTTTTCTTATCAGCAGACAGACTTTGCTCAACTCAGGTACCCAGATCTGTTGTCATTTGAATGGGGTCCAGTTCTGTCCCTGGAGCCAAGCGGAGGCCTTTTCTGCTAGCGCGGGTTGTAAGACGTCAGGGCGGCCCGTGGTGCCTGCGTGGCTTAGACTCAGAGCGCGACCGTGTGGGGGTTTCAGCGCACTGGATCCTGTTAGAAGCAGCTCTGGTATCTCTGTCCAACTCTGGTCTCTGGGGGCTTTGTGGCCAAGGTCCCGGGGTTGGGGGCAGGCAGGGGGGTCTTGGCATGGACGGCGTGAGTCTTTACAAAACGCCCCAGCGGTCCCAGCTGCGAAGGCGGCACAGCTTTGCTTCCAGTTCTTGCTGCCAGCCGGCGGGGGGTTGGGGGGGCCTTGGGGGGGTTCTTTGAAGAGCTGGTCCTTTGATCCTGGGGGAGCTTGGCCGCGTGAGTGTTTCCACTCAACACGCCCCTGCCCCTACACCTTCCGAGTACGCGACCTCACCTGGGTTTTGCACGCTGGGTACTGTGCCAGCGGGCTCCCGCACCACCCTCGAGAACCACCTTCTTCATGGCACTTTGCTGCTGTGTCTCTGCATCCTGGCTCCTCGGGCAGGTTTGGGCCAGCACCCGGGCCATGGGCATCTCCAGCCCACTGGCCTGCGGACATGTGCCGGGCCTGGTGATTTGGGGAGGCCTCGTTTGATCTGGCTTAAGATGGAGCCCCAGAGGAGCAGCGTGATAGAGAGGGTCATCTGCTCTGGGTCTCCTGAGCCCAGATCAGGGCTTCAGTTTGGGGAGCAGCACCCCTTTGTTCCTGGCATCCTCTGGGGTGAGCTTTGGGCCTGTCCTCTGGAGAGCAGCCCAGAGGGCTGAGGCTGTCTCAGCACCGGGGGTGACCGGGCCGCGCACCCCGGCCTGGCATGTCCTCCGGCCGACTTGCTCACACCCACTGCACCGCCTCCTGGTGTGGGCCTGAGAGTCTGTGAAAAAGGGCTGCTGCCCCCGGTGCGGAGAAAGATGCCACGATTGGAAATTGGCTGTCTGTAAGGACAAGCCCGGGGGAGGGGAGGGGAGGACATCCTGGGAGAAAGAGGGGGCGCGGGGGACACAGTGTCACCCAGTGGGGACCCTGTGTGCGTGCTGGACCCCAGACTGAGAAGAGCAGAACGGAAGCCAAATAGCACGTGCCAGAGTTCTCCGGAAGATTCCGCTGCATTTGCCACTGAGGCCGGCGATGTGTATTTTGAGCAGAAGAGATCCTTTGGCACACAGCTGGGGAGTCAGGCTGTGGGCCGAATGACCTCCCCAGTCAGCGTCTGTCTCCTGCCCGGGATCTGAGAGCGAGCCCACAGGCGGGCAGACCCGCCCCCTCACCGTCTTTCTCCTCTCTCTCTCCTCCAGGAGCTCTGACTCTGAAGAAGCGTTTGAGACCCCGGAGTCCACGACCCCTGTCAAGGCTCCGCCAGCCCCGCCCCCACCGCCCCCCGAGGTCACCCCAGAACCTGAGGTCAGCGTACAGCCTCCCCCGGAAGAACCAGGAAACCCAGGTAACCCAGGGTCAGCGTGCGGTGGAGAACTGGGGGAGGCCAGGGCAGCCCTCAGCTCAGGGACCCCTCTGGGGTGGGAGGGCCCCGCCCGCGGTCCTGGGCTGAGGTGGGGCGGGTGAGCAGATGCCCAGGACGACTGGGGGTCTTCTTCGTTTTGCAGAAATTTGGGGGACCCCTCTGTAGAAACCACTTCTTTATCTCGGGGTGCTTTTGTGTAACACTCAGAAGCAGCTTTGAGTGGAGAAGTGGGTCTGGAAGGTTCTGTCTGGATTCTAATCTGGCCCTCTGGTCCATCTATGAGACCCTGCATCTGGCCAGCCCAGGGAGGGCCTTGTGTTTTTGGTTTTTTTTAAAGATTTATTTATTTGTGCACACAGAACTGGAGAACTGGGGTACAGGCCAGAGGCTCAGGGGCGGTGAGAGGCTTCACCAGAGACAGAGTGCGCAGCAGAACAGGCCAGCCGACTGATGAGTCCACTGCTGAGGGGAACAGCGGGCGGGTCAGGAGAGGTCTGCCGCGCCCTGTGGTCACCTCCGGGGCAGGCAGGGATCGAACTCATGGGGAAGCGGCTTTTAGATTATCAGTGCTGCGCTTCAACCCGCTGCGCCACCAGGGAGGGCCAAGGGGGGGCCTTGCTTTTTTTAAGATTTCTTTCTTTATGCATACAGAACTGGGGTACAGGCCCGAGGCGCAGAGGCGATGAGAGAACTCACCCGCGTCAGAGTGGGGAGCAGACTGAGGAAGGACACTGCTCAGGGCACTTGTCTCAGGGGAGACAAGAGGGGTCTGCTGCGCCCTGTGGGTCACTTCGGGGCGGGGATCAAACTCGTGCTGGGGCAGCTGTGCTGGCTTCGTACTGCTGCACTTGAACTCATGGCACCATCAGGGAGGGCCCAGGGCCTGCATCTGTATTACGAGCAGCTCATGGCTTGGGCACACAGATGCTATGATGGCCAATGGCCAGCGTGCCCAGTCTGTGGGAGAGTTCGCTTGTTCCTCTTCAGGCGCCAGTTACCTGGCTGCTTATCCGTGTCCCCTCCCGGGGTGTAGAAAACACAGGCCTTCCTGTCCCTTTCAGAAGCATGCGGGCTGGCGGTGGGGGGTTCGGAGGGTGGGGCGGGTCTGTCCCCCAAGCTGCGGCCGCCCTAGCATGGAGTCCGTCGCAGGCCTGAGGGGACGGAGCAGCTTGAAATGGCTGGTCTGGGCGGTGGTGCCGCAGGTCACAGCCCTGGCTCCAAAGGGGTGCAGGCGGGTCTCCACATCACACCCTTAACTTGCTTAACTTGGAGCAGCCGTGCCCCAGGCCTGCCAGGCCGTCCTCCTGGCCCTTCTTCCAGGCTGAGCGTGCTTAGCTCTGCACCCTGAGCTGAGGACAGGGGTCAAGAACAGCGTCAGCCCCTTCTGGTGGGTGTCCGCCCACCTGCGTTTGAAGCTCCCCAGGTGAGACGTGGGGCGTGGGGGAGAGCAGAAGGAACAGGCGGAGGGCTGGCCTCCATTTGTACTCTTGCCCTGGCCAGGGGGACCATAACATAAAGTAACTCTTTGACCTTGACGTTGGTTTTGGAAAGCCACGGATGGAACTCTCCACCTGCCTGGCTTCAGAGAGGCCATTGTTTTCGGGAGGGTCCATGCTCCCAGGACTGTGCAGCTCACAGAGACGATCCCTGGGGCTTGGAGGAAAGAACAGGGCCGTGTTTAGGGGAACAGCTGCCTTCCTGGGGGGACCGCCGGCCGCCACCAGCCAGGAGTTCCAAGGCGGCACAGCAGCCAGGCTCTGGGCTCTGAGAAGTCATGGCTGGAACTGATTTGGTTTGAAAAAGATAAAGAAGTCAGAGGGTGCTTCTGCGTTCCAGAAGGTTTTGCATTCCCACTTTCTTGCGGATAATAAAGCATAAAAACAAGTCATTTCCTCTGACATCGTGACAGTTTTGCCCTTTTCTTGTATGGAAAGTGGCCAGGTGGCTGAGGCATCGTGCTCCTAGGCCAGGTGTAGCCGTGAGCAAACCGCCCTGCAGCTGCAGCTCTCCGAGTCCCCGCCCAAGGAGCCCAGCCCAGCACCCTCTCCACCCTGTGGTCCACGTGGCGACCTCGCCTTGCAGCGGCCGGCTCAGCGAGCCCCGACAGTCTTCCAGGCCACTGGCACCCCACAGCGGCAGGCGGCTTAGGGCCCGACCCCCCGGGAGGACAGGCCTGACCCAGACCCCGAGCTGTCGGTCTGAGCCAACGCTCAACCACCAGAATAGACAGTGGCGCCACCCAGCAGCACTTTCTTTGCTGTGGCACCATCGGGCATCGCCTCTCATTC